CTGGTGTTCTGGGAAATGTAGTCCAGAAGCTCTGGGTCATCGGAGGCCTTTTCTCTCCCGGAGGTTGAACTCGCGGCCTTGGTACATAACAGACAGGTGAGTGAGCTCCAGGACTGCGCGATCTCCTTAAACTTTCATGACCTGATTGTGCCATTAACGGTGCCTGCCCATGTTGACCTGGACGATAGCCGCACTTAGTGACGGAGGTTCACGCTGAGAGACAGGAGTAGCTGCTTGCTTTCCCCTTCGCGGAGCATCTTGGCTTTTGGGACAGTTCACACGTCCCCGGGTTGTGCAGGGTTTGGGGTCTCCTGGCCTCTCCGCTGTAGGATCTGCTTTGCCATTCTTCCATCCTCCAAACACCCTGCCACTTCCTATCTATGTTGGGTGACAACTTAATCTCTTTGAGCCACAATGTTTTCTGTAAGAAGAGATGGTAGGAATACCTACCTAATACAGTTCTCTTTTACAACAGTGCTGGCAAGTGATGAAGCGTTGTTTACTAATATTGTTATGAGATGCCCATGGAATGGATTCTGACTCTTAGCGACCTTATAGGGCAGGGTAAAATTGCCCCGTAAGCTTTTCGATACTGAAATCTCTTTGACGTGAGTGGCGGGGGATAGGGGTTGGATTTGTATAGCGCTGAAACATGGCATCACCAGGTCGCCTTTGCTAGTGTTAAGTTGATTCTGACGCACACCGACCCTGTCTAGCGCTTCCAAGGAGCAGCTGGTGGGTTTGAACCACCAACCTGAGGTTAGCAGTCCAATGCTTATCCTACAACACTACAACAGGCTTCCCCACTGCTAATACTCTATTATAATATCTGGATCCCTGATAGCTTAGTGAGTTAAGTGTTTGGCTGCTAACTGAAAGGTTCAGCGCGCATTCAAGAAGAGAAAGATAAAACTGTCTGCTGTAAAGGTTTAGTCTCAGAAACCCTAAAGGACAGTTGTACTTTGTTCTATATGGTCTCTGAGTCGGACTTGACTAGATGGCGGCTTTGTTTCAGTATGTTGTTAGGTGCTGTCAACTTGGTTCCAACTCATGGTGACCCTGTATAGGGTTTCCAAGGAGCAACTGGGGGGTTTGAACCAACAGCCAAGCTTGTGGACTAGTGTATTATCCCACAGCACCACACCAGGACTCCTAATAAAAGTATCCCATCCTCCGGAAGTTCCTTGAAGTGCCATTGGCTCTTCAGTCAGGTCCCTCTGGCAAAGGGAACAGTTTCTGGGATTACATCTGACCTTTGTTGCTGTTGTTTTTGAAGTTTGTATTGCGTATTGAGGGAAGGTTTACAGACAAGATCATCAGTTTTACATTCACCAAATCATACGCTTTGTTTCATCTCAGTGATTACAGTCCCCTCCCTGCACCAACCGTTATCCCACTTCCTCCCTGTGGATTCTGTTTCCATTCTACCCACCTTCCCTTCCCTTCCCTTCTCAACTTTGTCCTTAGGTAAATGTTTCCCTTTTGATGTTGAATGATTGACCATTGCATGGTAACCATGCCTTACTAATGTTGTTGTCTTCCCTATATACCTATCTACTGCTTGGCTGAAAACTGGACCATGAGGGTGTGTCCCTTTCCAGACCTGAAGGGTGGTCAAAGACCCTCAGGTATAGGACTTAGCATCAGCCTCTTTTTTTCTGTCTCAGGTTCTTCTAGTCTCTCTCTAGCCAGTAAGCCTGGTCTTTTTTTTTTAAATAATTTTGAGTTTTGTTCCACATTTTCTGCCACCCTATTCTGGACCTTCTAATGTAGTCACTTTCTGAGCAGTTGGTAATGGTAGATGGGCACCATCTAGGTCTTCTGGTCTCAGGACCATGGAGAGTGTTGTTCACATGTTCCACTAGCCCACTGAACTAATTGACTCCAAGCCTCTAAAGTCTTATTACTCTTCTTTCTTCTGTACTTGGAGAGACCAATAGTTGCACCTTAGATGGCTACTCATGAGCTTTTAAGATCCCAGACACTGCTCACCAAAGCAGAATGTAAGATACTGTCCTCGTGGATAATGTTATGCCAGTTGACCATGGTGTCCCTGGCCTGTTTCTTAATAATTACATCGCCTCCAGATGGGATGTCCTCTGTGTTTTTTCACAGACACAGACCCACGGGCCCAGCCTTCTTTCCTTCCCCTCCCCTGACTTCTCAATGAAGGCTATTACAGAGGAGGAGAAGCGAAGGAGATGTGGGCTTCCGGATACAGACTTGGAGTGGAAAAGTAAATGTTTCTGCTCTAAAAGTGTTCAGATATTGTTGAATAAGTGGCAGATCATGTGAGATGTGTACTGGGCAGGAAAATAGTGCTAATTTTTAATTCATATAAATCATTAGAATAATGCTAAGCAATGAGTGCTTAACATCATTCTAACGGCTTTATATAAACTAACACATGTAGCCTTCCTAAGGAAGGAGCCCTGGTAGCATAGTGGGTTATGCCTTGTACTGCTAACCACAAGGCCAGCAGTTCAAATCCATCACCTTCTCTGTGGAAGAAAGATCAGGTTTTCTGCTTGCGTAAAGATTTAGAGCCTTAAGCGGAGGTCCCTGGGACTACCAAGGGAGAAGAGCAGAGAGCAGGACCTTACCCAGAGAAGCAGTAATGCCTGAGATGGAGGCAGAAACAATGGTGTGGAGAGATGGAGCAGCTGGGGACTTTAGGTCCAGAGAGGGAGAGGGGCTGTGTGCTGACGACCGGGGAGCAGGCTTGTAGTGTATATACCCTTTGGTTGGGTGATGATGCATGGAGGGGATTGCAACCATGGCAATGAAATGATATAGAAGAGGATGAATGTAAAACTAATGTTCTCCCATGTAAACTATCACATAATTCACAATGAAACATTTAATAAAAAAGATTTGGAGCCTTGGAAAACCTATACAGGGTCACTGTGAGTCGGAATCAAGACGGCACTTAACAACAATAGCAAGCTGCTTAGAGGCCCAATGAGGTGGCTACCATTTTTACTTCCTTTTTACAAAAGAAATGGAGGCAAAGGCAGCATAAGGTCACACTTTTAGTAAGAATATAATTTGAGTCTGAGGCTTGATATCCTTGGGCCTACAGTTTGTTGTTATGAAGAGCCGTACAGTTGGTTCCAACTCATGAGCTGGTATAGGGTTTTCAAGGCTGTAAATCTTTGTGGAAGCAGAAACCTCTTCGCTCCTGCCCCCTGCGGAGCAGCTGGTGGACTTGAAACGCTGACCTTATGGTTAGCAGTCCATGATTATCCTATAGCACCACTAGGGTTCTCAGAACTACAGTTTAGTAAACCAAAATTAGAACTTGGGTACAAAACAGAAAAACAGCCCCAGACTGTTATTTGGGGCCAGGTTGGGGAGATACATTGTAGAGGATCTTGAACACAAGGGTAATGACTTTGGGGGTTTTCTATATAAATTTTTAAAGTGCTCCCCTTGATTTTGTTTCAAATAATACTTCTAGTTTATATACTGATTTTAGAAGGAATACATGCTAATGGCAGACAAAACAGATGATTATTTTACTAATTACTGCCTTTGCCCTAGAGGTAATGGAAAGTTTCCCAGGAACAACATGTGAAGGGTGTTTTTAAGAACAAGTGAAGGTTCCCCAGAGGAAGCAGTGACCGAAGGGTCTTTTGGACAGAGGGAATGGCCTGAGCCAAGGCATGAGAGGACTTGACAAGCTGTGGACACTCAATCCTAAAAGAGGGACCCTTCTAGATGTGGCCGTCAGACAAGCTGGGCACCTAGAGCCTCACTTTTTCCCCCAAATATCATGAGCGATCATCTCTTCCTGCTAAACAAAGATATTTACTGGGCAAACAAAATAAATGACAAACTGTGGAGGAGTATTTCTCCCAAGAATGGAAAATTACACATTAGCTTTTTTCATATTTGTGGTGTTACTATTGGTGGTGATGCTAGTTTTTATGTCCACGTAACTGTCTGTGCTAAGTTCATTTTGTTTGTGGATTTTCTTTTCATTTTCATTTCTGTTGTGTTAATGTTTACTGAATCTTTCTGATTTTCCTCCTTTTTATTTTGAAGTGAAGGTGTATTAAACTCGAGTTTGTTGTTGTTGTTGTTAAGTGCTGTCAAGTTGATTCCAACCCATAGCAATGCGGTATAGGGCTTCTAAGGAGCAGCTGGTGAGCTTGAACCACCGACCTTGCAGTTCAAACGACTTTGCAGTCTGATGCATTAGCCCACAGCGCCACACCAGTGGTTATGAGTTGGGCTGCTAACCTCGAGGCCTGTCATTTGAAACTACCAGCTGCTCCAAGAGAAAGATGAGGCTTTCTGCCCTCATAAAGATTAACAGCCTCGGGAATCCTATGTAGAGTCGCTGTGAGTGGGAACTAACTCCACGGTACACTACCACCATCACCCTATAATTTATTAATCTACTGAACTTCCTCACCATTTGGGAGTTCTGTATCTACACTATTCCCTCATTTTGCTTTGTAGTTGGCTTTATTATACATTGAGATCTCTGGTTCCCTATTTTTAGTCTTGTATGAGCTCTGGTAGTATAGTGGTTACCAATCAGGCTGCGAACCTTAAGATCAGCAGTTCAAAACTACCAGCTGTTCCGCAGGAGAAAGATGAGGTGTTCTGCTCCCGTAAAGATTTACAGCCTCGGAAACCCTGTACAGGGTCATTATGAGTCAGAATCAACTGCACAGCATATAACCACCACCACCTTACTCCTTACAACAGTCCTCTAAGCTGGGCATTGTTAATCTCCCCAGTTTACAGGTACAATAGTTGAGGCACAAAAATACTAATAAGTTCACCAAATTTTGCAGCTAATAAATAGCAGTGTCAAGACACGAACCTAGGCATTTTGGACCCAGAAATTGCTCTCTTAACCTGCATGTTTTATTCTCGATTTCCACCCTCCCTAGATTCAGAATCATGCCCTGAGAGCTTCAGGGAGGATGTGTGATAGGGCTACAGTGTGTGGGTGGGCAGGACATTCAGTGCACAGGGGCTCTTACTAGGCGTGTAAATGGAATCTGGGGTCCAGTCCATGCTCTGCTCATCACCCCAAATGTAGGTGCAACCACACACAGAAAGGAGTTTTATGGGTTAGTGACATCCTCCACCTGCTTCTCATGGCTTGTTCCTCTTTCCCTAGTTCCATAGTGCCAAGGTTCTACCCTTCCCCAGAAGGAAGAGGACAAAATGACCAAGTTCAAGGTGAGTTGGACTGACCTTTCTAAGTGTTTGAACTGTCATCTTATTTCTCAAATATATTTTTTAAAGACCCAACCCAACTGCCCTTGTGTTGCTCCTGACTCATAGTTATCCCATTGGACAGAATAGAAGTGTTCTTTAGGGTTCACAAGGCTGTAAATCATTCTGTGGGGACAGACAGCGTCCTCTTTCTCCAGTAAAGTGGCTGGTGGGTTTGAACTACGTACGGCCTTTGCAGTTAACAGCCCACTCTGCCATCAGGATGTCTTTTCAAAGGCAGCGGTGGTTGTTAATTGTCATTGTGTCAGTTCTGACTCATAGCAATCATGTATAGGGTTTTCAAGGAACAGCTACTTGTGGTTAGCAGTCCAGTGCTTATCCTATAGCACCACACCAGGTCTGTTTCTCAAAGGTTGTTGTTGTTGTTAATTGCGGTCTAGTCGTTTCCGACTGATAGATGTAATCCATACCGAAGGCTGTGCTCTTTGATCTTCATCAGTAAATATTTTAAGTCCTCTGCACTTTCAGCAAGCAAAATTTACTCACTATTAAATCATAAGAATCTGATCCCCATTTCATTTCACCAGACCCGTTTAGACAAGATGAAAACTGTTCAGTGGGGACTCTACCTTCCCCTGCACTCTGAAAATACACTCCTTCATGAAAACTTGTAAGCCAGTCACTTAGTGCCTTCATCACCCCCTCATTTTAGGCAGCCAGTTTCTAAGTTGCCCGTCCTTATCTACCCTGTATACAGAGGTTACTATTTGTTCTTAACGTTTTTTATTTATTTATTTAGAAACCAACCTATTACTTCACACAATAGTTGTCAGGAGACACTCTTACAATGATGTTTATTGCTCTGGTGGACTTGTATTTTGTTTTGAAATTCTAGTTATCTTCTGTAAGTGTGGGGTCACTGCATTTTCTGGATCTTAAGGTGTTTTTTTTTTTTATTCAATATTTATACACAGTGCTTCAAAATTACAAGTTTGGTCCTAGAATGTTCTGATTGCTTTATTGGGAAAAGAGAAAAAAGGGAAAAAGAATAGAGGAAAGATAAAATTTTGAAATTATATATTGTTAGTAAGTGTTGTCAAGGTGGTTCTGGCTCATAACAAGCCTGCATAGGATTTCCAAAGCACTAAATCTTTGAGGGAGCAGAAAGCCCTATCTTTCTCCCACAATGCAATTTGTGGGTGGGAGCCACTGACCTGTGGATATCCTACAAAGACACAGAAGTATACAAAAAATAAGTATTTTATGTGGCTATTTTAGTAATTGTGGTACTGTGGGTAAATGCACTGCACTGCAAAAGTAGGTTTGAACCTCAAAGTCAGCAATTCAAGCTCATCAGTCATTCCTCAGAACCCTATACAGGGTCACTATGGGTCAGAACCGACTTGACTTCACTTAAGAATCCTGGTGTGGTGCTGTGGCTTAATGTGCTGAACTGCAAGGTCGGTGGTTCACGCTCACCAGCCACTCCTTGGAAACCCCATACAGGATTGCTATGCGTCAGAACCGACTCGATGGCACTTAACAACAACAACAACATCTTACAAATTAAAGACAAGTTCAAGTTGAGCTTGAGTAGCTTTGACAGAACCCTTTTAACTTTTACTGTGATTTGGGTGAATGTCTATGAAGCACATTGATTTTCCATTAAAGAATTCGTGCACATTTTGATTTGTGACATTAATTGCCGTCCCACTGTGTAACAGCACTCTTCCCACTTCCTCTGTACCATTTCCGTTCATCCTTCTTTCTTATCCCTTCCTGCCTTCTGAGCTTCACCTCCAGGCAAATGCTGCCCTTTTGATCTCGTATAGTTGGTTTTTCTAAGGAGTAGGTACCTCCCTGGTGTTATTGTTCCTGTTATAGGCATGTTGTGTGGCTGAAAGTTGAGCCACTGGTTCTAGGCCTGAAGGATGTCTGAGGAACTGTAGTTTCAGGACTTCCACCAGGCGCTATCAGACCAGGAAGCCTGGCCTTTGGTATGATTTTGAATTTTGATTTACATTTTTCTCCTCCTCTATCCAAGGCCTCCTGATCTGATCCTTCCCATAGCAGTCAGCAGTGATAGTCAGGCACCATTGAGCTCTGCTCTCGGGGCTGTGGAGGTTCAGCCTTTCAGGATCCGCTCATCCTTTCAGGGTCCGCTCATCCTTTCAGGGTCCGCTCATCTTTTCATGGTTTGGTCATCCTTTGGACTCATTATTTCCGTGTATCCGTGATTTTCTTCAATCTCTGCCCAGCACAAGGAGAAACCAACGGTTGTACCTCCCATGGCTGCTTACAAGCTTTTAAGCCTCCAGCTACTACTCATCAAAGTCGGATGTGGAGCATAGTGGATCCAGGTCATGTCAGGTGACCTTGTCTCTTGATATCCTTAATGTTTCAGGAGCTCCACATTCGGAGAAATTGTTTTTGATATGTGGGACATCAGGTATTTTGTACGTAAAATATTCAAATATGGTGTGACGCAACAAAGTCTAACTACTGCTTCACACAATAAAAGTATTAGATATTTTCACACAAGAAAGCTGGATTCATTCATTCTTTTTTTATGCTTTTTGTTTTTATTTAAATCAAGATATGTTTAAATAAAAAGATTAGGTTTAGGGTTAGAATTTAGGGATATGGTTAATGTCAGGATTGTTTTGTTGTTATTAAATGCCGTTGAGTCGATTCCAACCCATAGTGACCCTGAATAGGGTTTCCAAGGAGCAGCTGGTGAGCTTGAACCACCAACCTTGCAGTTCAAACGACTTTGCAGTCTGACGCATTAACCCACAGCACCACACCGGGGCTCCTAATGTCAGGATTGTTGTTGTTGTTGTTGTTGTTATGTGCTGTGGAGTCGGTTCCAACTCATAGCAACACTGCATAGTATGGCAACAGTAATTATAAATACAATTTCATCATAAAGTTTTCCCAAGTGCTTGACTCAGGCAAGAAAGTAACCCATGATGAATTCTAGTTTGACACACTGAGTTCATGCCTATGCATACTTGGGTCATGCTCTGTGTTTCATTTACTGAATGGATATTCACACATTGATTTATTCAGGAGTCCTGGTGGCACGGTGGTCAAAGTGCTCAGCTGCTCACTGAAAGGTTGGTGGTTCAAATCCACCATCTACTGCACAGAAGAAAGATGTGGCAATCGACTTCTGTAAAGATTACTGCCAGGAAGGCCTACCTTATGAGGCAGTTCTGCTCTTGTCACATCGGGTCACTAGGAGTCAAAAATCGTCTTGATGGCACACAGCAACAACATATTAATGTATTTCATCAAAGCAGTACTGTACTTAATTGATAAGAGGACTTGCCAGATACTCTTCTCCCCTTTCTGCCTTTAGTGCTCAGACCAACCTTATGAGGAAGTACTTGGCCTCATTTGCATTTTAATTATAAATAAATAAACAGGATTTAAACTTTCAGAAGACTACTGAAGTCTACACAGGAAACCACACCATACCAACTGAATCAAAAACACTTCTAGGATTTTTATCTCTCTAAAAAGAGAAAGAATTCTCCAGTCAAGGAATTGGTGGTGGTGGCTGTGTGCCATCAAGTCAATGCCAACTCAGACTGACACTGTGAGTGACCCTGTATAGGGTTTGCAATGCTAGAAATCTTTCTGGGAGATGAAAGCCTCATCTTTCTCCCATGGAACAACCGATAGATTCGAACTGCTGAGCTTGCAGTTAGCAAACCAGCTCGTAATTCACTATGCTACCAAGGAACTTAGCCCAAAATAAAACAAAATTCCTTTCCACTGGACCAATAAACATTTTTATCAACGGAGAAAAGACTGATGTTGTCAAGGACTTCATTCTTCTTGGATCAACTATCAACACTCACTGAAGCAGCAGTCAAGAGATCAGACGACTTATTGCATTAGGCAAATCTGCTGCACAAAACCTTTTTAAACTGTTGAAGAGCAAAGATGTCAGCTTTGAGGACTAAGGTGTGCCTGACCCAAGCCATGGTATTTTCAATAACCTCATATGCATGTAAAAGCTGGACAGTGAAGGAAGACCATAGAAGAATTGATGCTTTTGAGTTATGGTGTTGAAGGAGAATATTGAAAGTGCCATGGGCTGCCAAAAGAACCAACAGATCGTGTTGGAAGAAGTGCAGCCAGAGTGCTCCTTGGAGGCCAGGATGGCCAAACCTTGTCTCTCATACTTTGGACATATTGTTAGGAGGGACCAGTCGCTGGAGAAGGATATCATGTTTGTAAAGGTGAAGGGTTAGAGAAAAAGAGGAAGACCCCCAATGAGATGGAATGGCAAAGTGGCAAGCAGTGGGCTCAAGCGTGTAACAATTGTGAGGTTAGCCCAGGACTGGGCAGAGTTTCGTTCTTCTGTGCACAGGGTCGCTATGAGTCGGTACCGACGGCACCTAACAACAAGTACCTAGCATGTGGCGACCTATCATATCATTGTTGTCATTAACATAGTGACCCTGTATCTGGTTTCCAGGAAGCAGCTGGCGGGTTCAGACTGCTGACCTTGTGGTTTGCAGTCGGTGCTGATCCACAACGTCACACCAGAAGTTCTAGGATGTCTGGTGGGTAGGAAAACTCTGCTGGTATTCGTCTCCTGCCTGGTTCACTATTCACTTACGCTTTCGCTATTGCTCAGTTGTTGTCACGTGCCATAGAGTCTGTTTTAACTCTTAGTGACCCTGTATAGGGTTTTCAAGGAGCAGCTGGTAAGCTCAAACCACCGACCTTGCAGTTCAAACCAAGCTTGAAGTCCAGCGCATTAACCCGTAGTGCCATACCTGGACTCCATTGCTCGGTTAGGGTACCTGAATATGGTA